GGGGGGGGGGGGGGGAGATGGTGGAGCGCAAAATGTCAGATGAAATTGAGCAAAATATATTCAGGCGGGGCATTTGTGACAGGAAGTTTCAGTTGAATGGTTTGTTCCAGCGGCCGGTTCTGAATTGCCAGCACATATCCTATATATGTGCATGTACATATATAACGTATGTATCCTTTGACAAACATTTGACTGAAATGCACTCGGCCAGTGCCGTTGGGCGTGACAATATTAATTTATATGCTTAATCGCAATGGCCCCCAACTAAATCCAACTTACAAACGAGTATATCGCTTGACTTTTATTGCAGACATTCCATCTTCGTCAGCCCGCGGACGCAGTGGCCCCGATGATGTTGCCTTCTATTGCCCGGAGGAGGGCCTGTTTCCCGATGACTACGACTGCCGCATCTACTACCGCTGCGAGAAGCGTTCCGAGCATTACATCAAACCGTACATGTTCGCCTGCAAGGAGGGCACTGTCTTCTCGCGCACCCTCCAACTGTGTCTGCCTCCGATGCTGGCCGGACGCGGAGAGTGCGAGCCGTACATGAACGAAATCGATGTCGGCGATGAGACAGACAGCCAGCTGCCATTTGATGGGCTCGTCAATAACCAGAATGGACATAATGCGATGCTTAATAGCGCCGTAACACCCGCCGCCGCCCTGGAGCTGCACACCTATGCTACTGCAAATCAGTTGCCCACAAATTATGGACTGACAGGCCTGAGTGGTGTTTCAGTCATATCCTTTTCGAGCTCATCATCTTTGCGCTCGGCCGCTGAGGAGGAGGGCGTGTCGTGCGAGGATGATGGATTTATGAGTGATCCCATTGACTGCACCGTGTTCTATCGCTGCATCTCGAATGGGCGCGGCTATAATAAAATTGGTTTTCGTTGCTCGGACGGAACTGCCTGGGATGAGTCTCTGCAGTCCTGCAACCATATAGTCAAAGTTCGTGCCAATGGCGGCTGCCGCAACCAGGCCGATCCTCTCAGCGATGAGCAAACCTCGACACAGTCATCCCACTCGAGCTATCAGAATACCACCTCATCGTCATCTTCGTCCAGCAGTCAACAAAGTTCTTCGACAAACTCTTCAATGTCGTCGTCGTCTAATAGCTCGAGCTCTTCCAACAGCTCCTCGAATCAATCAAGCTCAAACTCCAACCAGGAGTCATCCACGGCGAGCAGCAACCAACAATCGTCGAGCAGCAATCAGTCTTCCAGCAGCACAGAAAGTTGGAGTAGTAGTACTCAACAAGCCAGCTCGGGTTCTTCGAATCAAAGCTCTGGAAGCAACCAATCTTCTAGTAATAACCAGAACTCTGGCAGCAACCAGTCTTCAAGCAGCAACCAGAACGCGAACAACAGTCAAAATTCCAGCAGTCAAGGCTCCAACAATAACGAAAATCAAAGCTCTAACAGTAACCAGTCTGCCAGCAACAATCAGAGCAACCAGAGCAACCAGAGCTCATCGAACAATCAGTCGAGCAGCGGCTCCAGCAACCAAACCAATCAGACAAACCAGCCTGCATCAAGCGAATGCGAAGACGAGAACACCTACATACCTGATAAAATGGATTGCGCCAAGTTCTACAGATGTCGCAAGGATATTGATGGCAATTTGGAAGTGGTGCCATTTACATGTGGTCCTGGCACTGTTTGGGGTCAAGAGGAGAAAGTTTGCGTCCTACCTAGCGAAGATCAAAAGAAACAATGCAACATACAATCTGGCTCCTCCAGCAGCGGAAATGGTCAAGGTGGCAACAACACTTCCAGCCAACAATCCAACGGAAACAATCAATCAAGCAGTTCTAGTTCCGGCTCAAACAATAGTAACAGCAACAATCAATCTAGCATCCAGCAAGGATCATCGTCAAACAGCAATCAGCAAGGTTCCTCGAGCAGCAATCAAGGCTCATCCTCATCATCAAACTCCAGCAATCAGTCTTCCAATCAGAGCAGCAATCAAAGCTCTTCATCTTCTTCGAACTCTGGCAATCAATCGACCACATCCAACTCCTCTGTAGCACAAAACTCCACAAGTTCTTCGAACTCGACAACAAGTAAACCCTCAAATCCTGACGGCCAGTGCGAGCACTCGGAAACATATTTGCCTGACAAAAATGACTGTGCGCGCTTCTATCGCTGCGTCGATAATGGAAATGGTGGATTTGATAAGGTTGCTTTCGATTGTGCACCAGGCACTGTTTGGGATCCCGAATCAAAGGGCTGCAACCATCCAACTGATGTACAGAAGGAAGAATGCAAAGCTATGGCTAGTGGTGCAGGAAGTGCATCAAATCAAGGCTCGTCTTCCAATCAGGGATCGGCGTCCAATCAGGGATCATCCTCCAATCAAAGCTCTTCATCTAATCAAGGATCGTCGTCCAATCAGGGATCATCCTCTAGTCAAAGCTCCTCATCAAATCAAGGCTCGTCTTCCAATCAAGAATCATCCTCCAATCAAGGATCATCTTCTAATCAAGGCTCTTCATCTAATCAAGGATCGTCCTCTAATGAGGGCTCATCTTCCAATCAAGGATCCTCCTCCTCTTCTAATCAGGGATCATCATCAAATCAAAGCTCATCTTCCAATCAGGGATCATCATCAAATCAAAGCTCATCTTCCAATCAGGGATCTTCTTCAAATCAAGGATCATCTTCCAATCAGGGATCTTCATCAAATCAAAGTTCATCTTCTAATCAAGGATCGTCATCAAATCAAGGCTCATCCTCTAATCAAGAATCATCTTCTTCTCAAAGTTCTTCCTCTAATCAAGAATCGTCCTCTAACCAAGGCTCATCTTCTAATCAGGGATCATCTTCCAATCAAGGGTCATCCTCTAATCAAAGCTCGTCTTCTAACCAGGGATCATCCTCTAATCAAGGGTCGTCTTCCAATCAAGGATCTTCATCAAATCAAGGGTCATCCTCCAATCAAGGATCGTCCTCTAATCAAGGATCATCCTCCAATCAAGGATCATCCTCCAATCAAGGGTCGTCATCTAACCAAGGATCGTCCTCTAATCAAGGATCTTCATCAAATCAAGGGTCATCATCTAACCAAGGATCATCCTCGAATCAAGGTTCTTCCTCAAATCAAGGATCATCTTCCAACCAAGGATCGTCTTCGAATCAAGGATCATCTTCCAATCAAGGATCATCCTCTAATCAAGGTTCGTCATCCAACCAAGGCTCGTCATCAAATCAAGGTTCTTCTAATCAAGAATCTTCTTCGAATCAAGGATCATCCAACCAGGAACCAACCACAACAACAACGCAGAAGCCATTCAAGCCAGCAGAGAAATGTGAGAGTGAGGAAACATTCTTAGACGATAAGGAAAACTGTTCGAAATTCTATCGTTGCGTTGACAACGGAAAGGGTGGATTTATGAAAGTGTCATTTACTTGCCCACCAAATACCCTTTGGCACCCCGAGGCCAACAGCTGCAACCATCCATCGCAGATTGACATGCAGAGCCTTAAATGCAAGCGGGTCATCAATAGCAGCAATAACCAATCTTCTACATCATCGTCTTCAAGCAGTAGCTCCACAGAGCAAACGACATCTACAAGCTCTCAATCTGGCAACAATATCAGTTCCACAACATCAAGCTCGAGTAGCTCTAGCTCCACCCCGTCGCCGAAACCATCTGGTAATTGTAATGTTAATGGCCAATTTCTAGGCGATGATAAAGACTGTTCCAAGTTCTATCGCTGTGTGGACAATGATAGAGGTGGTTTCTATACGGTGGCCTTTTCGTGTCCACCCGGGACTGTATGGGATGCCCAGATAGAAGCTTGTAATCATGCCTGGGCCGTCAAAGATAAAAACTGTGGCAGTAGCGCCACTACTCAACGGCCAATCGGAACATCTACCACACCTAATCAGGGCTCATCGCAATCCCCAAGCACAACACCATCCACTATAAAGCCGACAACACAGAAACCAACCCAAAAACCAACCCAAAAACCAACACAAAAACCAATAGAAAAACCGATCACTACAACGGGAAAACCCTCAACCCAAAAACCAACTACCCAAAGGCCTGTTACACAAAAGCCAACCAGCTCAACTCAAAATGTAAAATGTACAACTGAGGGTTTCATTGGTGATCCAGACAACTGTGCGAAATTCTATCGTTGCATCAGCAATGGCAAGGGCGGCTTTAGCCAGGTGGCGTTCCATTGTGCGGCGGGCACAGTTTGGGACCAGGACCTACAAACCTGCAATCACGATCTGAATATGTGCAATCCAAAGCCCGAAGATGGTGCTACAACTGAGTCCGATAAGGGTCCGTGTGACAATACCACGGAAGGTCCAACATCAACACCAATCAATACTACAAATCGTCCAACTGAGCCAGCCACAGAATCAACAACGGATAGACAGACCACAACTAACCAACCGACAACTAACCAACCCACAACCAACCAGCCCACAAGTACTCCAGCTGAGCCAACAACAACATATCAACCTCCAACGACTTTATGGACTACGACAACAACGAGACCAACCTCAACTGAAAGTCAGCCCACAACATCGTGGACCACTTCCACGCAACCGCCAACAACAACGATATTTCCGGAAACTACAACCCAGGTGCCTAATTTGCCACCTGGTACCGAGTGTAAAGGCGAAGGCTTCATGCCTGATCCTAACAACTGCCGAAAGTTTTACAGGTGTCTGAAAACAGGCGACTCCTACACGAAGCACGAATTTATGTGCGCCAAGAACACTGCTTGGAATGCAGATATCCAAACCTGTGATCATGCGCAGAATGTTCCGAGCTGTGCAGGTCAAACTGAACCTCCAACAGATACAACAACAAATCCAACCGTCACCACAAGCGAAATTACTACTAATCCTCCAACGAAACCTACAACAGAGCCACCAACAAAGCCAACAACTGAACCACCAACAAAGCCAACAACGGAACCACCAACAAAGCCAACAACAGAACCGCCAACGAAACCAACAACAGAACCACCAACCGAAACACCAACAAAGCCGACAACAGAAATAGTTACGAAACCAACAGATTCTCCAACGAAACCAACTGGGCCACCAACAACGCCCACAGATTACACGGAGAAGCCAACGGATACCCCAACGAAGCCCACCGACTATACAACCACAGAAATGTATCCAGAGACAACTGTATCAATTCCAGGCTACCCTCCAACTACTACTCAGGCTCCGGCAATGAACTTCACGTGTCCTGCTGAAGGCTTCCACGCTGATCCAGAGGACTGCAGCATTTACTATCGCTGTACCAAGAACAAGAATACCTATCAAGTATATAAGTTCCGTTGTCCGAAGGGCACGGTCTGGGACACATCCCTGGACACATGTAACTACGCCGATCAGGTGTCTGGTAATTGCTCCTCAGGCAGCACGACTTCAACAACAAAACCGAGTGAAACGACACCATGGACAGATATGACAACCACCACCATGGTGCCAGAGACAACAAGTAAGCCAGAGACTACCACAGGTGGACCAGTTGGCACAACAACTACAAGTAAGCCAGTGGATACCACTACAACTAGGCCAGTGGATACAACAACAAATAAGCCGGAGGATACAACTACAACTAGGCCAGTGGATACAACAACAAATAAGCCGGAGGATACAACTACAACTAAGCCAACGGATACAACTACAACTAAGCCAACGGATACAACTACTACAAGTAGGCCAGTGGAGACAACCACCGAACAGCAAGAAAAACCAAAGCCTGAGGTATCCAATAATTCAAGTGCTCCCTGCCCAACAACCACTGAGGAGCAAAGTATGTTTGTCTGCCCGTCCGGCTTCCGTCGACATTCCAAGCAATGCGGTGTATTCTACCAGTGCAATGAGAACTCGGAGTCGAATCTGAATATTGTATTGTTCCAATGTCCCAATGGCACCGTCTATCAGGAGGCATCATGTCGCTGTGGCAAGCCAGAACCCAATGACACCTGTTTCATCAAGGGATCGTCTCGTACCCAGCTGTTTGATGAGGCAGCGGAACCACTAAACATGGCAAGTATCTGTTAGATATAGCAAATCGCACAGTCTTACTAACCCACAAATTTGTCTCCGTTTAGGTGCCGATTCATTCGACAGAGCCTCTTTGTCCGGAGGAGGGACACTTTGCACTGAACCAAGATGAATGCAGCCAAGTCTTCGTGAAGTGCGGCTACTCGCAGCAAACAGGCCGCATCGAGGGACAAATATATCGCTGCCCGCAAGGCTTCGCCTATTGGAATGTGAGCCGTCGCTGCGAGCCAGCTAGAAAGCTGAGCAGCTGCAATCCAGCCTCATACAACGTGGGCAACAGTGTGCCTCTGGAGTGGGTCAACATCGGCCACAGACGTCGCAATCTGCGCATCTAAAACATACACATACATTTTAATAAATCAATAGCATTAATTTAGAAATTGTAAAAGGCAATCGCAATTGTTTGCTCCGCACGCTCCCCGATCCGGGGCAGCTTGCGCAGCAAATGACGAGCCAAAAGACTAGCTTAGGTTTTAGTGCAATACCAATAAGTTTCACAAGGGTTAACAATATCATTTTCTGGTGATGGTGCAATTTGAATGACATAAAATAATTTGTTTTCGATTTCCTGTAAGAGTTGCATTGGCACAGCCTTCGACTATATGCACAACATCTTGTTGCTCTTCATGCAGTAATTGTATTTATATTAAATGTAACGTTCTGAACGCCATATTTAGCTTAGACTCTATGCTTAAAGTTTATAATAAATTAAAACATATACAAAACGGTTTTACATAAGCTGAAGCTTAAGGTGACTACGGTGCTTGTTCTTTTCTTCTCTTTCTTCTCGCATTTCAACTGAGATCCAGTCATTTCCTCTTCTTTGCGACGGGTGGTGCTGCCGGATTTTCGCCCTTGTAGAAGTCCTTTAGCAAGGCCATTGCCTCATCCGCTCGCACACCGCCCGTTATGTTGATCTGTTGGCCAACCACGGCGGCAACGTCTATCACTGTCTTGCCACCGAATCGATCATTCTCGCAGCCATAGATGATCTCCTTGACGGCGAGTGTGTGCAATGCGGCAGAGCACATGATGCAGGGCTCCACAGTGACCACAACGCTAATCTCACTGAACACCTGGCGTGCTGGCAAACGCTTCTCACGGCAGTACGCCAAGGTGGCATCGATGCATATGAACTCCGCATGACGTGTTGCATTCCGATGTACATTCACTTCGTTCCCGCCACGTGCTATTACCTTGTCATTGTGCACAAACACACAACCAACGGGAACCTCGCCTGCGTCACGTGCTCGCCTCGCTTCCACAAGAGCCTCCTCCATAAACGCGGCCATTTGGCATGGAAATATTGCAATTTATTCGCAGCTAACACAAACAGAACTGACTACGACGCCACGACACAGGCAAGCAAAAAAATAACAAGCAAAAATCAGCTGTTCACAGCCACAATGTGATTGGCAACTCAACGGCAACAGTGTGGCAACACTGGCCGTGATTCAAATATTTTCAATTCTGTTAATACACTAGCTATTCAACAAACACATAAACAGCTATCGTTTCGTACACAAGCACACTCATACTGTAAGTGCGAATGTGTGCATTCTCGTCGAGAAGTATTCTTTGTGCACATCAACGATTTCATGTCCCTCCTAAAATAATTAAAATTCCAAATGATTGGTATACTCTTCTTTCAAAAGAGAAGAAATTGCAGCTCTTTGCGAGCAGTTTCAATTTTGGTGCGCTGCTGCCAGTGACGGCACACATGCATACATACATATGATGGATGGAATAGACAGATAGCAAAGGACGAAGAATTAGATATTATTTAAATTGTCCATATGTATGCAGCAGTATTCATTTGGTATTTATATTTAAGTAAATCGAAGCTAGAGTGCTTTAATCAGCAGAGAATGTTCTCATGGGAGATTTAGAGCTCGGCTGCAACGACTCCTACGAACGCAGCAGAGAGTCGTCCGATTGGTTACTTAAAGTTCGACAGCCACGATCTCTACTTGGCGCCGAACTCAACATTTGAGTGTGACTTAGTGACTGAATGAAAGTCGCTCTATATAAAGGGCAGCAGCTGTGGCATTTCTTCAGTCGCCCAGGTCTGGTGAGGGTCAGTAGTGCAATGCAGTAAAGTGAAGTGAAGTGTATGATAGTTTAACGACTTAGGGGAAAACTTAGAGGAAATACAAACCTACATATTGCTTTTGGCGGTTGTTTTGGTGTGCTAGTCCAATAGCACTGGTTGTGTGCACATATTGAATGATATTGATTTTGATTGATATTTGATTTTATTATTATGATAAGCAAAAAAAGATCACTGCAAAAAATCTACCAATTTTCGTCGGGTTTCTTCTATTAATCATCTAAGCCGTTTTTCCAGCACTTTTTCCTACACAATCCACCAGAGCTCAACAGCTGGCAACCTGCCAATCCGCTCAAGCGCTCATAGCCCACATATGTACAGGGAACCGAGCAAATTCTATTAGAGCTCATTGTATGTATATATGTATATACATACTTATACTTTCAGGTGAACTTCCATTTCTTCGCTTAACACTCTTATGGCTTATTACATATGTATTTGATTAGATCTTTTTCCTCCAGCAATGCTTTCGCCTCTTCTGCCCACTTTGTATTGTTGGGCACACGCATACTTGGGTGTTTCAAACGAATCACTGTTGCGTTTGATTTACAATAAGAAGATCTCTTTTTAAGCTCTATCTCAATCCACGATCCAATAGCCACAACAAATTGTGGCCGCAACAATTCGAGCTGCTTCTCTAATGTCATCAAGCACTTGTCTCTTATCAACGTCTTGTATTCGCCCTTCAGGTGGTCAGGGGTTACATTCCCACCTTTTTCATCAAAAAACGCCAAAGGACATAAGTTGTGGACAAAGCATTGTTGAAAGAATACATCCAGGCTACCAGCCAATTCCTCAAATAGATTCCACAAACGTAATCCACTCTGCTCCTCAGTTCTGCAATTTAAACCTGTAACAGGTCGTTTAGCATGTAACAAGGGCGGCTGTTGCACTTCACCAGAAAGTTGCATCTTATTACGGATAGTGCCAACGTTGCCGAAAGGTATCTACAAAGAATATTATAAGCATATATTACATATTAACACGTTCATAGAATAAATATTACTTACGCCTGTCTGGCACATCCCCTTTGGCCCAGGATTTATGCCAATAAACACAACATTTTTGGTTCCACTTAAATACTTTTTTAAATATGCGCAATGTAAGTCTGACGCATACTCGACGGGATTGTAAACACAAGAAATCTCCTTTGGCAACTCAAGCTGCGCTAGTTCTTCATTCAACTTGCATTCAAAGGCATAAAATTTTTGGTCGATTGTTGGCAGTGATTCAGGTTTTCTTAGATCAAGAGCCTTCGTTTGCCTATCGAGCTTGTGTTTCAACATGATGCGTAATTCCACGCCCTTTTCATAAATAGCGATTCTTTGTGGACATCGAACACTTGTCGGATAAATACTTGTAATATATAAACTTCAAAATGCATTTGCGCTGCAAACAATTCGTGTAATGCAAAATATAGTACTAACATTTTGAAGTGTTGCCACCTGGTAGATCTTTAACAGCGCACTGCTACGAAATGAGCGGCAGAAATGCAAATTTCACGATTCAAAAAAACGATAAGTAATTTATTAAATATGCATATAAAAATTAAAACTAAGATTGATTCTGCGTGAAGCTCTTCAGCTTGGCCTCATTATCTTTCACAAATTTGGTTTTAAAATCCTTAATATTCTTTGAAATATTCATCTTTACAACAGTTCCAAAAATATTCAAAAATTGCTCCACCTGAAAGTAAATGAATGCATTTCAATACCAAATATTGTTTGTTGCTTTCACCGTCTCTTTACTTACAGTTAAATCCTTTTCAGCGCAACCCATTTTAACAAACTCACATTGTGGAGCGTGCTTTAAATGCTCCTTCCAAGGATCGTCTTCTGCCTCCCAGCCATCTAGGGTTTTGGCGCACACGAAGCAAGTGGCGGTATCATTTTCACGCGTGGTGCCCGTCCAGTAAAACCCCGCTTCGGCCATCTACACAATAGTTGGAATAAATACTTAAAATATGTATGCTACCAATAAATTCACAGGTCGCTTGCCTTGCTAATGCTGCATGTGGAATTTGATGAAAAGGGCCAATCCTTGAAACTCTCAACTCGATGCTTTTCTAGTAAGTTTAGCTCGCGGAATGCTTCCAGCTTGGCATCGTCCAATATACTTGTTGCATCCATTATTTAGTTTGCTTAAATTACAATAAACAATTTTAAATTATTTGTGCGCACAACAAAACAAAATAGCAAACAATGCCAAGCGTAGCGCGTCGTTGTTGCGCCCTGGCAGCTCTGCAATTTTCTGTTAACATAACATAATTAAGCAGTTCCAAAATGAATCATTGACAACAGTACCAAATGAGTAAAACATCAAATAATATGTTTTGCTTATTAAATATCGTTAAAGCTAAATATCAAAATATCAGAAAATTTGTTTTTGGTTAAATAATTTAGCATTGCTTCGTGTTTTTTATGATAGGTTTTTATTTTACCAGTAACGCACTTTTTATTTGAATTTAAATCAACTGCAAAGAAATCATATTCTATAAAGCTAGCACGATTCTCAACACTGACATTTTTAGTGCTCAACATTTATCGTTGAACCGCCACGAAAAAAGACATTTATTATCTCAAATAATAAATAAATATTATTTACCATGCCCGCAGATCAAATTCAATATTCCGAAAAGTACTTTGACGATAAATATGAGTATAGGTAACGATCTAATGGATAATAACCAATAACATTTATTCACCATTCGGCTTATCGCTTGCAGGCACGTAATTTTGCCTCCCGACTTGGCCAAGCATGTCCCCAAATCGCATTTAATGACAGAGACGGAATGGCGTAACCTTGGAGTTCAACAGAGTCCCGGCTGGGTGCACTATATGATGCATGCGCCAGAGCCGCATGTGATCCTATTTCGTCGTAAGCACGTCGAAGACGAGACATCCGCATCGCAACCAACTACAGCCAATAATGTCAATGTCTGCGTCTAGTTGGAGCAAGGAGATGAGGACGCTGACGAGGACGAGCCAGAGGCAGAGGCTAGTAGAGTTGGTAGCGAGCATTGTGTTAATTTTAGACAGTATTCAATAAGATTGGAGTTAACCATCAATCACCTTGATGTAAAATATGTTTACAGTAGGTTAAGGACATACACCTTTTGATACATTGTTACAATTATAGCCTTAAGTTCTTTGTGGCCATTCAGTCAAACACAAATTTGAAAGCCTTTCACGAATTTTTCCCTAAGTTTATTTACCTAATATACGAAATGTACGCCATGTGTACAAATTACAAGTAGTAAGACTAACATTCGATTTAAAAAAAAAGTTCTATTGCTAATGATAGCAACGCCAGATCGCAGGTGTTATGTAGTCCGTCCAGCGCTCATAGCGCAGGTCACAATTACGTTTCGCATAATACTCCATGGAATAGAGCGAGATCATGATGCCATTGCCGATAATGAGAGTAAACCAGACGCAAATGTTGCCCAGTGTCTTGGGTGCGCTGCGCATCAGGAACACCAACGCCACGCCCAACACACCGAAGAACATAAACATGACGGGGAAGAACAATTGCAGCCCGAATCCCAGCACCTGCTCATGCACCAGCGCCGATATCATGAACACCAGCAGAGAGGCGACCACTTTGGAGCCCTTGAAAACGTAGGTATACAGATCCCTATAGACGTACTCGTACAGCCAGTCGTGCACCACCACGTTCCAGTTGCGATAGTATCCATCGTAGGTGTGCGACGTCCACCAGTCCTTATAGAACATGCGATCCCCGAAGCGCAACAGCTCCGCCGTAAAGTTCAGCCACGAGTGGAGAATCATATAGAAGCCGCACAAAAGGATTACAGCGCTCGGCAGCATCATGCCAAAGACCTTGACAATCACCTGAGATGGCCCCAGCGGCTCCTTGCCAAACTGGCCGAAGTACTCGCGAATGTGGCGCTCGTGTATGGAGGCATAGAAGAAGGCAATGGCCACGACCTCCATAAGGCGGGCCAGCGCGAACTTCCAGCGTATCTGCTTCGTGCGTGGATAGGTGTCCCTGTAGATTAGGGTGGGCGCAAACAGAAAATATACGTAGCAGCGCAGGGGCGGCAAATAGGGACGACCATCCTTCAGCTCGCCGCCGTCGTCCGTCTTCTGTTTGCCCTGCACCACCCGGGCCGCATTGTATCTAACATATGCGTGCATTTTCATCAGTAGCCGAGTGCTCTCCAGGAGCAGCACACAGGCACTGATGAAGGGCAGCTGGAACTTCAGGCACAGCGAGGTGGAGACATACCCAAAGGCGAACTGGGCGCTCATGTACAGGATCAAGCAGCTGTGTGACCAGAAGCGTTGCAGCGATTCTGCAAGGGAATTGAAATTCTTATTAGACTTGGGCCTCGGCAAATTACTTTCGAGACTCACTGTGTGTCTGCAGCTTGAGACGCACCAGTGCCCAGCCCTGGAATGCATAGTAGAGCGCCAGCACGAAGACATGCTCCAGCAGCCAGGCGCCCAGGACCCAGTGCAGACGCTTCAGCCCCGTGCGGAACGTGCCGAGACCCAAATTGATGCGGCCCTCGACAAAGTAGTCATAGAAGATGACGTTCATCAGAAACATGACCAGAATGATTGAGAATATGTGGTAGATGGTGCGCATGTGCTCCACCTGCAGCAGCGCCGTCAGGTACGATTCGCGCGCCACGAACACCTTGTCGGGCAATTGACGTCGCGTTCGATCTTTTCGCTGCTGCGGCTGCTGCTGTTCATGTTTTGCTGTTGTCTCATTTTGGGCATGCGCCAGACCATTTGGGCAGTCCCTGACGTCATTTTCCGCTGCTGTCGCAAACGCCTGCTGTTGGCGATTGTGCCAGGTGGCGCTTGCGTGGTTGGCCCTGCCCCGCGAGGTGTCGAACTGGCGGAACTCCTGCGCGCGCAACTCCTGTTGCCGCACGTCCTGCATGACGTCCTCTATCATGCAGGATAGGCGCTGCTCGAAATCGCCCATGATTTTGCTCTGAAACTTTTGCAATTTGTCGCGCAAAAACTGCAGCTGATCGACTCCTGCTTCCGTGTAGGACTCCGCGACTGTCCTCGACTCCTCAGCCATGGCGGATAAAAAAAAAACTAAAATGTGTTGCCTCTTTCGCGTTATGCACTGTGTTTATCAGTATTTCGCAATGACCTATGCTGTTTTATAGCAAACCGTCTGCGTGAGAAGCTATTTGAACAATGTGCCGAGAGCTCGGAGGCTCAGTTGCTTTTGGCTGCTGTTGTCAAATGCATGAAATGATAACGGCGCATTTGCCCAACAGCCAGAGGCGTAGTTAATGAGGGTGCGTTTGCACTGGGAAGTAAAAAGAGTCGCAGCGCGACGCCTCTATCGCCTAGCAGGGCAAGCTTGGCGCGCTCCTCTCTTCTTGCACTCTCTCTCTCTCTCTTTCTCGCTCGTTCTATCTTGCGCTCTGAGCAAAGTACACTGTTGTTGCTGAAATAGTTTTGCTAAGTACATTACAATTGAGACACTAATTTGATTGCTCGCGCCTTATGCGACCCGATTAGCTGTCAACGGCACTTGAAGCTTAATCAATCGGCCGCCCGTCCGTCTTACGAGAAACACATGTGGGTCTATGTTATTGATAACACCATTGTTCATTGGCCCGGGTGCACTAGCACTCGCCATCGAACAACCACACAGACAGAAATACATACAATATGTACGCCTGCTTGTCATACATTTAAATGTATGCAAATAAATATGTATGTACGTGTGTGTATGAGGCAATATACAATATGACGCGGCGCGCTGAGATTTTCACAACGAATTACGAAGTGTAATATGTAAACATGTCAAACAATAAAGGGTATACATATGTACGAATTATAATTTGATAATAATTTTGAACTTGAGCATATTTTATGTGTCTAATGTGCAGAATTTGTGTTCACTTAGAAGGTTGTTGTCTAGATTACCAAATGCAGCAAATTACCCAAAGGGATTTTTTAGGGATTTTTTACAATTGAATTAAAAGTCCAGTTGGAGAAACGGACTTGTAAGTCTTCAAGTCATTTGCTATCAAATATCTAATATTAGCTGACTATTTAATATTAACAGAGTGCCTATATAATTATTTGTTGTCTAAATTAGAGCATTTAGGAAATATATAATACGAATGACTATGGAATATTTTTATATAATGTATAATAACCCGAAGGCCCCAGTTACGTGTTTAATTTGTAAGTTAACTTTAGTTTTATATTAATTCTAATCTACCGTAAATAAACATATATAATTAATGGCACATATATTTTCCCAAAAATACCCCAATGAACGATTGAAAATTTTTGAATATACTTTGCTATTTTTAATTAAAATGCTTGAAAATTTTGATAAGCATGAAATTTGTTGGCTAAATCAAATATAAACAATATTTGGATATTTTGCTAGTGGCCAACGCCTGGGCTCTATTGAAATCCATCGACCTGTTTATTGTGTGGCGTGTAGATGATGTGTGTGTGTGTTTCGCATATTTAATTGCAAATATTTATGTGTGAGAATAAAAAACAACAAATACATGCGCATAGGCCTAATGTTTTGATAACGAAAAATGAGCCGAAATTAAAGCTCACGGCAATGCGTTGTCCCGACTGCCGCACACGATGCAGGATGCTAACGTGTATATGTGTGTGAGTGTGTATGTGTGTGTGCGCAAAATAATATTAATGCTGTGCAGACGCAATAACCAAAAATATTTATTATTTATGCGGAATAAACAGCAGCGCGGCAGCCCAGCGCACACACAAAATATGAAATTAATGCAAAAATGACAAAAGCAGCGCGCAATAGGCGAAAGGCGAACGGCAAAATGGAAAAGCGCACAAAGTGTACAAGTAAAACATATATATTCTATATACGAATATTGGCATAATGAAATGCCAGCTTGGTAGCCCAGCCCAGTAAAACATAAAAGTCAAGCTCAGGCCCAGAAAATATTCATAAACAGAAACAAAAACGAGCCAACATTATGCAGGGTGATCTGCCAGATAGTGCCGCATATAAAAAGACATTTTTATTGCCCGAGGAAAAAAGAGAACGGCGTGCTGGAAGAGATAGTAAAGCAAGGGCAAAAAAAAAAAAAAAAATCAAGAAAATAGAAACAAAAATAATATGCGACCGTATAAAAATCTATATAATTCATAAACCCACACAATCGCAGAAGCTGAGACTGAACGAAACACGTACGCCGCGCTTGGCGGCCATATTGGGTCATAAAAAGCACACACACATATATACATACACCCATGCACACACATTTACACATAAAGCCACAACACAACACAAAAGTGGCAGCCGCAGCAAAAAAAATTTTATGACGCAAAACTTTGTGAAGCAGAAACATATAAAAAATGTTGCATATTTTCGGGAGCAACGTTGAAAATTGTCCCACTGCTCGCTCTCGCTCTCTCTCACATACACACACTCACATACACAGAGTGTGTGCATGTGTGTACTTGCCATTTCCGCTGTATTTCTGTTGTTGTTTTATAGGCACACAGTTTTGTGTCCTGTGCGAAAAGAATGTCCGAAAAAATGGCGCAGTTTTGTAATTTGCTAAAAAGGCACATAAAAAGCAGCACAAAATATTACGGGAAAAGTATCGTACAGTTGCCAAATGTGAAATGAGACTATGTAGAAATGTTTATTATGTGGAGCACCATTTGTTAAGCAGGCTAATTGAATTATTCACTTGTTTATTTTTCACAAATTTATTTATTTTAAATTTTATAATAG